TTCATGTTATCCATTAGCATCGAGGAAGAAATTTACTGCAGTGGTTTTCATAGCAAGTAATTAGGTAGCATAAAATGAGGCAACCCACAAAATTCATCTACCTAGGAAAATACTATCATCAGTGCTGCCCAGTAAAATATGACTAACAGACCTACAATGGCTGTGGTGGATAGTAAATCTTCTCAGCAAAGGACACTTAAAACATTAGGAGAGTAAAAACATTCACAATTAAATCTTCTAGGCAGACGTCTGCTTTGGGGTACTCAGAGAAGGAAGAGAAAGCAGATTTTTTTTTTAGGCTGAATGGCTCTGCCATTAATTAGGTTAGGTGTAGAAACCACCAAAACTGTTATTTTGCCCATATTGTACAAAATTTTAAAACACTGAGTGCTGGAGGGAGTCCAAAGAAAGGCAATGAAGTTGGTGCAGGGTCTGGAGCACAATTCCTATAAGAAGTGGCTGGGGGAGCTGGGGTTGTTTAGCCTGGAGAAAAGGAGGCTCTGGGGGACCTTATCTCTGGGGGACTCCCTTTCTCTACAGCTGCCCAGAAGGAGGGTGTGGCCAGCTGGGGGCCAGCCTCTTCTCCCAGGTGACAAGTGACAGGATGAGAGGACATAGACACAAGCTGTGCTAGGGGAAATACAGGTTGGAGATCAGGAGGAATTTCTTCAAGGAAAGGGTAATTCAACATCGAAGTAAAACTAATCGGGGAAGTGGTGAGGTCACCATCACTGGAGCTGCTCAAGAAGAAACTGGACATGGGACCTAATGCCACGGTCTAGTTGACAAGGTGGTGATCAGTCAGAGGTTGAACTCAGTGATCTCAGAGGGTTTTTTCAACCTAAATGATTCTGATTCTACCCTTGCAGCCATGGTCAGAATGCCTTTTTGCCTTGTAGCAATAACCGATGCCACAGGGGAATGAGAAGAGCATACATCTGATCCTCATCTTTGTGAATTTAACCCTCAAGTGGCAAAGCCAAAAATGAATGCAGAAACTGGTATCACCTTCTGCATAGAAGACATATTTTGAGTTTGACAGTGAAACTTTATTTCCTGTATGCTCTGGCCAGGCCTCATTCTTCCCAGTTCTCAGAGTGCCTTGAAAATGCATGTGCCCAGACAGCTGGAAAACTCTGTTCCAACAGAAACTTCTCTGGATGTGTATGGGTTGTTGGATGAGTACATGGAAGAAATGAAACACTGAGGAACTGAGAGAATATCACGGCTGTGCTCTCCATGTTTCAGTTATTCTGCTAATGCCCAGCCTGGGAAGAAAATGAAAATAAAATATAAAAAAAATGTGGTACTCCAGCAGTATTGAATAGATGGCAAAAGGCAAGTATAGAGACATGAAAGGTCAGACAGGAGAAGGGATGGAGGGCAAGCACTTTGTAATGCAATGGAGCATGAACCGAAGTAATTAGACATTAAAAACATCTTCAGGAGGTTATCTACAAAGATATAGGCAAATACTTATCAAAGAAACACTGATCAAAATTTTCAGCATCTCTGTGATGAATTTAGATGCCTCTTCCACAGAAGTTAATGGAGAATATGCATCTTAGTCATAATTTTGTCCGTCCCAACGAACTGCAGACGTAAAGTTGCATGATCAATTCTTTGAACTCTTGTGGAAAAGGAAATCTTTTTATGGATGCTGGCAACCCAGATCTTCATACATTTACACCTCGGTCGTAGAAAGGTGACTCACCAAGAAGCGAGAACCACCAGCAGCTGCCGTGGCTCTACGGCTTCACACCGGGACCTGATGGAGCGGTGCTGACCTTCTCTCCAGCAGAGGGCAGCGATACACAAAAACTCACTGTATCTTCAAACTGATAATTTTGCAGCGTGGTAAATACCAGCTTAGGGAAGGAGTTCATTTAAGCGCGCTGTATAGTTTAATTATGCGGTAATGACAGACATGATGACTTCTTTCATCATCAGTCAAAGCAAAGAGAATTTCCTCCAAAGAAGAAAGGGATCAAAGTGTGAGTATAGTATAAGGGCTTTTGCATTTGGGGTCACCTTACAAACTGCAGATAGTCGAAGATATTCATACTGAACTATCTCACTTCCCCAGGCCATTTAAAACCTTTCCTTTCTGATTCCTACTTTTCTAATCTAAAAACTATTTTGGAACTTTTTTTCCCCAGGCTTTACTTTTTTGTCTCTTGTTCACCTCCATTCATTTACTGTCCTTCCTGAAACCCTCTTCTTCACAGCCTCTTCTCAGTTTTGTTCGTGCATGCCATATCTCACAGAGTCAGAAGAACCTTTGTTCCCATCTCAGAAATATGGCCCCCCAAACTGCACAACTTCTGACACACACACGAGTACTGGGGCTACTAGTATAGACAACTGTTATTGCCTAAAATCAAAATAATTTGTGACTCACAAGGATCATCTACATCATTGTGTAAAACAGCTTGAACTTCTTACTTCTCCAGGATGGAGACTCCTCTAGAACTATCAGGAGAGAATTTATATTATGACTTCCCTCTCCTACTCTCTTGGCCCAGCTAGATTGAAGTCAGGTAAACAAGGGGGATCCAGAAAATTTACTAAATGGTTTACATTCTCATTAGAGAGTGCAAGTAAAAAATAAAAAAAAAAAAAAAAAAAAAAGGAGAAAAAAATCATCATGCTGGCATTTACTTTGAGATCAGATAATTTTATGCACAAATACCTCCTCTTTCCATCTTACTCTTCTGTCTTCAAAGGAAATTGGGTCTACTTAATTTTCAGGAAGTTTGAATGAAGGCCAAAAATGTGTTACCTGTTTTCATGACTACCTAGTTCTACTAACTAATATAATCAATCTGTTCGGTATAAATTTTCATAAATTATCAGACGTAACATGAATAACTCTGCTTTTTAACTTCATAAGCCTATGGAAGGCAGGCTAAATCTTCACATAATTACACAGCAAATATTACATCAACTCTACTAATTGGATCCTCACACACCATCATATTTTAAACAACACACTATGCCAGATTTGAAACTGACTTGGAAACACAGTTTATGATGACAAGTCAAACAATTCTTGTAAAGAGATAAGAACATAAGATAGTGCTGTGTGTACAAACACTGAAGTAAAACAATTAATCCTCTACTCATTAGCTTATTTACCAGAGTTAGCTCAGATTCAGCATCTGTGTTTCTTAGTTTAGGAACTAAGAGAGTATGTGTACCTTTATTTTATAAAAACAAACTAATTATATGGCTTGGGGTGCAATTTGATTTAACAATATCATGCTGACTTGATTTGTACAATTTAGTAACAACAAATTTAGTCCTTTTTATTTTATTTCAGGACTTCTGGAAAGTCTTAAAATATTTTATTGTCAGCAGCTAAATCCTAACAAGATGGACAGTCTTTTCAGTGATTTCCCCTTTACGCCGCCTATTACACCTACAAATAAAAAAACCAAAACCCAAGAAGTATTTTTAAATAGAAAATTGACCAATTTTTCCCTACTCAATTGGTTGATTGATTGCTAATTAACATAATTATCAACATATCAGAATTTCCTATCTTATGCAGCCTGTAGAGATGACGTACAGTTGTACTTAAAAATGTCAATAACACTTCATCCTTTCCTCCTTTTCTTATCCCTGAGACATTGTCTACCTTGTAGATTACAAACAAGCAAAAAAAACCATAAACACCATACCTGATATCCCCACCAATTCTTTTATATACTTGTCATATAAAAAACATTTTTCTATTATTAATATTATCTTTTAATCCATATGTTTTTTGGTACAAAAAATAAAATATCAAGTACATTTCTCACTAACTTTTCCTGGTTTGAGACTTAAAGAAATCACATCTTGAAACTTGCTGGTATGACTCATCAGTAAATTTGGGACAGTAAGAATAATATGAGCATTCTGTTAGCTCATATTTGGTTCTTGCTATTTTGTAAATTGTATGTCAAAATCTCATTTATATGTACATATGCCGCTATACAGACAAAAGATGGATATAGTATTTGCTATTTAGCAAATAAGTGATTTGAACCACTGTTCAAACACCTTTTAGTAAGTCGTACACCGTGTCTGGAATTTAAGTGTCCCTGACCGGACACGCGAGGATCAGGGTGCCCGCACCGCGGTCCGGATGAGCTCAGCCTTTCACCGCCTTTTCACTTTCTGCACTCGCTACCACAAACATTTACAGTAACACCTTCAGCTCTCCCACTCCGCACCTGCCGCCCCCGCGGCCCCCGACCCACAGCGACAGGGACAGCGGGGGACCCGCCTGCTTCTGGGGTCCGTCTGTGGCGCCCCCGCCTCCGCCTCCAGCAGCACCCCGGGAAAACGCCGGGGCCCCCGCTCCCCCTCTCCCCGGCTCGGCTGGGACCCCTGGGAGGGCACCGCATCCCAGTCCCAAGCGGGGCATCCCCGCTGCCCAGGGGATGCCTCCGGGAGGCATTTTTGGGACAGAAACGTGGGTTGTTGTTTTTTCCAGCTGCTTCCCGCGGGGCTCGGGTAGCCCGGGGTGCAACGGAGTCCCCTGGGACGGAGGCCCTGAGGGTCTTTTCCGAAGGCATGTCCTTGGGAGCGGGCGGGAAGGGCGGCTGGGCGTGCGGGGCTGGTGCGGAGGGGCAGCCCGGTCGCCGCCGTAGTAAGAGAGCTGCTCCTCCGGTGGTTGGGCTGGGAGCTCTGGGCTCCTCCTCCTCGTCCCCCCCAGCAGTGCACAGCCGGGCGTGTGACTGACGAGCCTCCCCCCGTCTATCTTTTTCTTTTTTCTTTATTATTCTTTTTTTTTTTTTTTTTTTTTTTTTTTTTTTTTTGCCATGGGTACACACACCGAGACACGCACATGACAGCACTTGGGTGCCAGCGGCGGTGCATCGCCAGGAGGGCTGTGCTTCACTCCGGGCACGCACACACGCATGCTGCTGCTTCTGCTGCTGCTGCTGCTGCTGCTGCTGCTGCTGGAAGTCTGTCTACACGGGGATTAGCAGCCGCCTCTCGCTCTCTGTATTTCCCTCTTTCTTCTCCCTTCCTTCCCTTTCTCATTCTCTCCCTCAAACGCCTGACTGACGGACGACGGGCAGGAAAAGGTAAATGCGGGCGTGCTGTTTGCTGACGATCCCGAGGGGTGATGGTGTTAGCGGCGTGCTGCGCGGTACGCCCTCGGCTCGCCGGGCAGCCTGCCTGCCTCGCCTGCCCTCCCGCCGCGCCGCCGGCTGCCGCGGCCGCCGCTCCCCGACTCTCCGCGGCTCGGCAGATCGGCTTTTGCCGCGAGAGGTTTGGCTTCTCCAGCCCCCCCCTCCTCTCTCTCCCCCCGGGCTGCGAGGGAGAGAGGTTCCCCGCTATTGTGCTACTCGCACTTAGCACCGCGGGTGCGAGCGTGCGGGAGTGCTTAGCCAGGGTTTCGCGGGAGGAGGCTGGCTATTAATTGCTGTCTGCGCTTAAGACGAGAGCGCTTCCCCTGGCAGGGAACGCGGGCATTATTTATTAATCGGGGCCGGAGAGTGGCAACGAGAGGACTCCTCGTCGTCCCCGCGTCGTGTCCCCCCTCCCCGTTTGCTGCATCATTCAAATAATGAGTAATTCCTAGCTGGCCTGGTGTAGCGGGTCCAGATGGTCCCCCCATCCGCGGGGGCTCTGCCAGCCTCCCTGGACTGCCGTCCTCCTTTCCCCGGGGGAGCGCCCCCTTCCCCGGGGAGCCTGCGGGCGAGCGGCACGGGGGCATCGGCCGCGCCGGGTCCTGCCCCGCCGGCCCCCGCAGCCCGCACGGGCTCCGTAAATAGTTGTCGGCACTTGCTCGGGCCGACTTTGTCCCGCGTCCCTCCCTGGTAGGACAAGGACACCGGGGTGGATATTTGTTCTCCCCCCTCGGAGAAGCCCGCTTGGTGCGGGGATCCCGTGGAACAGAGAGGTCCAGCCCCTCCGAGGGGACCGCGTCCAGCCAGACTCGCACGGACCCCGATCCGGACTTCTATCCCCAGAGGCGCGGGTGCCTGGGAGTGTGCTTCAGGCCGGCAGGGGACAGGAGGGAGGCGGTGTAGCGGAGCCTGCCCTCCCGGGCCGCTCGGGCAGCGGAGCTCCCCTCCGCGGGGAGGGGGCGGCCGGGCCGGGCAGGGCAGCGCGCTCCGGGCAGGGCATCCTCTCCGCCGGCCGGCTCCGCTCCAGCGCGGTTCAGGTGTGGCGTTTAGCGGCGAAGAGCTCTGGGGATCGCCCGGGCAGTCCCCGGGGCGGAGGTTAAAGCGCCTCCCGGGAAGGGAGGCCTCCCTCCGCCGTGCCCATCGCTTCCCGGGCAGCGGGACCGGCACCGCCGCTCCCCGCCCTGCGGGTGCCGGAGCGGAGTGGCCCCGGCTTCCGCCGTCCCCCCGTTCCTCCTGCTCCGGGAAGCGAAGCATTTAGCGAGGTTCCTTATGTAATTACGCCTTTTTTTTTTTCTCCCCCCCCG